ATTACTCTGATGCTATAAATAGTATAACCATATGGCTAGAACCAGTCAAGATTTAATATTAATCTAAGTGAGAATCAGCCACTTCATTTTAAAAAAAATTTGTCAAATCTTCTTGTGAAGATTCCTTTAATATCTATCACACTTCACTATCATATATATCAGTCATAATATTGTTAAAATATTGATGATTTGTTCATTATCTCAGGCTAGTTTTAAAATTAGGCTAATGATATATAGAAGTGAGTTGTTATTAAATTCCAAAAAATGGAAGATTAAATTAGGTTGAATTAAAGTTTGATTTATCAATATGATTTTTTAAGATAATAGAGTATTACAAAATTGTATTTGCAAATTGACAAATTAAAAAATTCTACATGCTGACATTTTATTACAATCAGTATATTATTCTGTTGAAAATTCACCACTTCCTGTTTTTAATATAACTTATGATATTTGAAACAAGAAATGAAATGGTAAAATCAGTCATTTAATCCAAATGCTTTTTTTGTTAAGTATATTGAATTTGAAAAATTTCTAAATTTGTCACCTCTGATTTCTGTCAGAACTAATTTCATAAATTTTATTAATACCTTAGTTACAAACTCTATAATATTGAATCTTATCTGAAATGATATGATCTAAAGTAAAATTCACAAAAATCAGTTATTAATTGATTTTGTATTTAGTGGATTTTGAAATGACTCATAATCCAGTAATGCATAATCTTCAAATGTTTTAAAATCATTCTTTACAGAAATATCATCATCTTCAGATTTACCTGTAATATAATCTTCTTTAGTAAAGATTCTGAAGGTTGATCAGCTTCTGTTTCAAGATCAATAGAAGAATTTATGCCAGATTTTGAATGATTTGTGTATTTTCTTACACATTTCTAAGGTAAAAAAGTAGAATCAAAATCTTCTTGATATCCATCATCAGATTTATGTTTGATAATTTCTATAATTTATCCAGTCGAAGTTGATGTTGATGATTCTTCCATTTCATTTTATATTCCAAATTGATAAAATGTATTCAAAATAGAACTTTATGAATCTTGATATCTAACTCTAGTATTATAAGAGGTTGATGACCAAAAAGTAGATATATTTTCTTCATCAATTAAATCACCAATCAACTTACTTATTCTTTTATGAAAAGGTGTATTTGAAGATTAAAAAGTAGAAATATCTTCTTCATTAATTAATCTAGAAATTGATCTATTTCTTCTATAAAAAGAAATATTAGAAGATTGACTTAATGAATCATCATCATCATCACTACGTATAGAGGGTTATCAAAAGTTTCTGAACGAATTTTTATGCAATATAAAATGCTTAATTTTTAAAACTCAACCAAAAAAACTTTATTAAAAACTTTATTTTAAGCTTATCAAACCTACATTTTGTATTATTAAATTAGTATTTAATTAGGTCACCTTTTGCCATAATCATCGCTTGAATTCGTGCTGGTATACTATTAACAAAATTTTTGATCAGACATTTCAGAATTGCTTTTCATGCATTTTTAATATCCCTTTTAAGTTCAGCAAGGTTGGTTGGCTTTTCTTTTTATTTCTAATTTTTTTTTTACTTTAGCCTATAAATTTTCAATTGGGTTAAGGTCTGGGCTTTGAATGGGCTAAGAAAGAATATGCAGATTTTTTTCTGCACAAAATGATGATGCAACCTTTGTTTTGTGGGTCTAGCATTATCTTCTTGAAATAAACCATTGTTTCTTGGAAATATGCGCTTCATTGTAGGTAAAGCATATTTTTATAGTATTTCAATGTGAGTAGCTCTGGTTGCTGATCTATAAAGTGGTACAATCAGTTCCATTCCTTTTCATGAAAAATAACCCTAAAACATGTGGCTTAGGCTGTGTTTAACTGTGGCTGAAACACAAGAGAGTGACCATTCATCTTTTGGTTCTCTCTATACTCTGCTAATACGACTTTGCTGAAATTGAGTAAAGGTCAATTCATCACTCTATAATACTTTTGCCTAATCATTTTTTATTCAACTTTCATGTTCTAAATATCATGCAAGTCGTGCCTCTTTATTTGCTAGTGAAATGAGAGGCTTTCTTTATGCAACATAACTTCTTAGTCCAAGTGAATGAAAAGTGCGATGAATGGTAATTTTTGAAACATTCTGACTTATTTTTCTATAGTTCTTTTATTCCAGTAACACATAATCATCAATTTTATGCTTTTTCGTTTGTTACTAAATGTTTAAGCTGATTGCGATTCGTAATGTCAATCAGGTACAATCATCTGAGATGAAGCTTAGAATCAATAGATCCAGTTTTAGCATACCTTTTTATTGTATCATAAACTGTTGTTTTGCCACATCTAACAGTTTCTGCAATCTTATTATACAAATTGCTATTTTTACGAAGATAAAATATGGCATCTCATTATTTTGCAGTCAATTTGTTATTTTTTCTCATTGTTACAGTTATAATCACAATTTGTAAAAAAAATAAAGTGAGAAAGAAAAAATGAATTAGAAATGTTTTTTAAAACAAATAAACAAAAACAACCCATATTTGTATAATAAATATTATCTTTTTTGCATAACAATTGCGTTTAAAAATCATGTTCAGAAAATTATAATAATTTTCTGTATTTTAGAAATCAACCTTTTTCAGCTTATTTTTATTTTATAATTGAGAAATTAAAAGAAAAATAAAAGTTTAAAATGGAGTTATTTTTGAGAATGATTTTAGTTGAATTTTATATTTTTTTAAAAAATGCAGTAATTTTGCAAATATTTATATTATTATACTAAACTATTGTTTTCTTTTTTTAATAAGTATAAACAATTAAACAAATTTCCTTTTTAAAATATTTGTAATATTTTTAACTATTTTTGTTAAGTTCATTTTGATTTAATGCATTGATAAATTGTTTCTGAATTTTGTATTGATTTAATATATAATGAAAGTATTATTTCTGATTTACTTTAAGTCCATTTTGATTTAATGCATCGATAAATTGTTTTTAAATCTTGTATTAATTTAATGCATATTTTGATTTAATATATCGATAAATTGTTTCCGAATTTTATATTGATTTAATGCATGTTGAAAGTATTGTTTCTAATTTACTTTAAGTATGTTTTGATTTAATGTATTAATAAATTGTTTTTGATTTACTTTAAGTATTTTTTAATGCATAATTAAAGTATTATATTATATTGATAATTGTTTTTGATTTACTTTAATTCTTAATGCATGATAAAAGAATTGTCTTTAAGTTCGTTTTGATTTAATGTATTGATAAATTATTTCTGATTTATTTTAAGTATTGTTTAATACATAATTGAAATATTAATTGCATTGATAAATTATTTTCAATTTACTTTAAGTATTATATTGATTTAATGTATTATCTGATAAACTATTTGAATTTCTTTCTGGCATATATATGAAAATTTATATAAATAAGCTTGATTTTTCCACTTCTTAAAAAATAATTTCAACTTGAACTTTATTTTTTTAAAATTAAATTTTTCTTTATAAATAAATTTTTTTTTAAAAAATTTCTCTTTTTGTAAAATGCTACCAAAAAGTTAACCAAAAAAATGTCACAAGAACAAAAAGAATTTAAGTTGAATTTTATCAATCAACCAGCCAATTTTTCAAACAATAAACTGATTTTTTTTTGTTTTTCTATAATAGAACCTTAATCAACAGCAATACCAATAAAATGCTTCCAATAAAAAAAATTAGCTCATAAAGAGCCAGAATGTAAATTGAATTCTATCAATCAACCAATAAAATTTTCAAACGATAACTTTTTTTTTGCTTTTCTACAATATAATTTCAGTCACTAGCAATATAAACAAAACGCCTCCAATGAAAATAATTGACTTATGAAAAGCCAGAACGTAAATTGAATTTTATCAATCAACCAGTCAATTTTTCAAATAATAACTAATTTTTTTGCTTTTCTATAATAGAATCTCAGTCGTAAACAATATTAATAAAATGCTTCTAATAAAAAAAAATTAGCTAATAAAAAGCCAGAATATAAGTTGAATTTTATCAATCAACTAATCAATTTTTCAAATGATAACTGATTTTTTACTTTTCTATAATAGAAAAAAAATAAAAATGTATCTATACAATATCATTTGATGATAAGCTAATTGTTTTAGATCGTAAGTTAGTCATAATATACTATTTTTATATTAATACTAAATAACTTTTCAAATTATAGACGTAAATTTAGGAGAAATGTAAAGACAATATGAGAAAATTCAGCTTTAATCAAAATTTTAATAATAACCAATGGCAAGTACTTCAGTTGCAACTAAATTTGAGATTCTCAATAATTCAACCAATTTAGAATTAGATATATTATTTTTGATTTATTTTCATTCATTGTTTTATAATTAACAATATATTTTCTTTATTTCTACATAGAGAATTGAATGTTAAAAGAAAAATTTGCTGAATTTACTAAGAGAATAGAGAATTTGAAGTGATAAAATTCTGATCTCTTAAGAAAAAAATGATTTCTTGCTAAAATAAATGAGAAATTCAGCAAGAAAATGAAGATTTACAGAAGAGATAAAAATTCGTAATTATAGACTTCTTTATATTTTTCTTGAACAGCTTTTAATATTTCTATAAAAAGTTAATTATCTAACTTTAAATAAATTTGTAACCATAGAGATGAATTTATAAGGATTGTGATAAAAATTTCTAAAGTATACTTTTTATTCTATATACAGTTAAGTAGAATATAATGATGTTTTTGTATTATCTAAAAAATATCAGTATATTAAAATATTATTATATCAAATTATCTTTATTTAATGATATAATAAAAGAAAAATATATAAATTGATATATATACAAATTTAATATAAAACAAGTTTTATAATTTGATACTATAATATATTATCAAGTCAAATATTATTATTATTATTATTCATAAATTATTTTAATTTAACTTGCTTTTTACTATTAAAATTATATAGCATTATTTGACTTCATAAAGAATGAAGTTTCATAAGATTTTTTAATTCAATAGCAAATCCATTAGATAGATTAGTCAAAAAACTTAAAATATTATTTAAAACTGATAATACTATTATAGAAGAAATAGGCTGAATAGATACTATTTCTTCATTTTTTTCATTATTCTTTTGTGTAAGTTGTACTAATTGTATTTTATCTTCATCAATTACAGTTTCAAGAATAATATTATCATCTATAATAGCAAATTCTTATGCAACTATTAGATCTTCAAATTTAAGATGATCAATTAATTTTTGTATATTATATAATTCATCAACTTATTCAAAATTAAAATAATTATTAATATCAATTTTCCATTTTCAAAATTTAAATCCTCATTTAATTTAGAAAGAATATTTGTTTTTTACCAAATTATTTGTATAGTAATAGCTAGAGGTGTGTTCTGAATCTGATCAATCCAGATATCTGATCATCCATTCAAAATTTGATCAGATTTAGATTGATCTGTTTATATCATCAGATTGACCGAATAGATTATTGGATATTCAGTGAACAAATTGGATGGTCAATTTGATTTAGGTAAGCATAAATTTTTTTTATTTTTATTTTTTTTTTTACATCACTCATTCTCATACACATACACATATACATACATATAATATACATATACACATACACATTCATTCTCACTCTCTCTTTCTCTCCTCTCTCCCTCTCTCATCCTGGAACTTTTAATCCAAATTTCAACTTGAACGGCTTGAATTCAAACAGTAAGTGCAAAATTCTTTCTTTTTTTGTCTTAAAAACATTACTAACTTTCATTTTACTTCTTTTCTTTAGAAAACGCCTTCTTGGATTTGAATTTTGGCTGGGCTATGAAGATAAGTTAGTGTTTTTATTTTTCTGTCATTGAAAATGTTATTAACGTTTCTTTTACTTCTTTTCTTTAGGGAATGCCTTTCTAAACTGGATTTCTACTTGAGTTATAAAGGTAAAGTAGTATGAGGAATTATTTTTATTTCTTTATCTTTGGAACACTATTAATGTTCTTTCTTGTGGTTTTTTTTGTTTTTCTTTATCTTTGAAATGCTATTAATATTTCTTTTGCTTTTTTTCTTTAAGGGATACTTTTTTGAACCTAGATTTTAGCTTAGACTATGAAGGTAAATAGTGTGAGAGATTATTTTTGTTTTTTTTTGTCTTTGGAATACCATTATCGTTCCTTTTGCTTCTTTTCTTTAGAGAATGCCTTTTTGGACTGTGATTTTAACTTAAATTATAAAAAGAATAGATAAATTTTACTTTTTTTTAATTTAAGAATAATACTATAAATATTTCTTTGATTTTAGTGTAAAATTTACATAAACTTTAAATGGCTAATTAAAAAAGGATAGATCTGCATTTATAAAACAACTTAATTAAGATATTCTATACAATTTCTATATAAAGTTATGTTTATTTAACTTTAAAAAAGATTGGTTATTTCATAAAAATATTTGTTACATGTACTTTTTTTTTGATTTATATATCCTTTTTTTACACACATTCTCTTTAATTATTTTTTTTCTTTTTAAAAAAAGTTTTCCTATTTTTATAATAAATTTATAATAAATTTATAAATATTGATTCAAGTTCTGTTAAAAATAATCAAAATAATTTAAATAAAATTCAAAAAAAAAGAGGAGGGTCACAAAAAAGAAGTTGGATATGGGATTAGTTTGTATCTAATGATGGAATTGCTATATGTCAAGTAGAGGTTACCATAAGTAAAATATGTAGTAAAAAATATCAGTATAGAAGTTTAACAGGCATCTTAATAGACTATTTAAGTAGTAAACATCAAATAACTAAAAAACA